ATGTATGTTTGATTGCCCTACAACATTTGGCCTCTTTTGAAAAGTGTGTGGAGCTCCTGTGGCAAGGCTTTGAGACAAAAGAACAGACTACAGAAATCAGCTTTTGGAGCTATAGGAATAAGCTGCCAGTTTTGAGGATGTGTGACAGCAAAGACAAGGCAATCCCAAGTGCTGCTTTAAAAGATATGTTGGTGGGGACTTCAGAAGAACGGAAAGGTCAATTAGTTGGAGAGGAAACAAAAGTTTCAGGATGATATGGGATAATATGCATCATTAACAAAACTGCTGACTTCAGATATTCCTGTCTTGTGAACTGCAGTCAGAAATGTGAGCTTTGTTCAGGGTATCCTCTGCCTTCCTCCAAGCATGTATTAGAGTAATGTATTACTGGGGTTAAAGCAAGAGGAAATGTGTGTCCTGAGCTGGAGTATACATCTTGCAAATATAAAAAATATATATATTTTTAAGGGAAACAAAGCTCATCCCACTATGATAGGTGATGTTTTGGGGTTTTTTTTTTTGTGTTTTCCTCTTGATTACGTACACATTTCCATGTATTCAAAAGTAAGAAGTGAGGAGAATCAGTGGTACATACACCTTTGAAACCAGGGTGCCAATATCAATGACACTGGCTGGTTCAGACAGATAAAGGCCATAGATCAAGGCCTGCAGTAGTCACAGTCATCAGATGCACCACTGTCCCTGATCCCCTAAGAATGTTCAAATACAGTTCCTGAGTAATGAGCCATACTTATTTGATAGAGAATCACAAGCTTACTCATCAGATGTTATCTAGAGGGCAAAACCTCAATTGCTGAACGATGCAGTGAGACATAGTCCTTATGAATTCTGTGAAGTGAGCTCAATCACTTTTTTACCTGAATCCTAGACTCTTTGATGAATGATCCATATGTGTTTGCTCTCCTGATGCAATGCTTTGAGTGTTGTACAGTTCTGAATATATCTCTGAGAAATGAGAGATCAGCCTAGGACAGTACTTAGCATTACAAAACCAGTATGTACCCTCAGTCTTTCTGAAGGCCTCCTTTCTATACGTATTTTTTTCGTTCCATTAAATAGAACATTGTCTGTATTAATAACAGCACCTTTTTGAAAGCTGTTTGCCTTTTTTCTTCTCTTTGTTGGCTTCTCTTTGATATATGTGAGCTGATACCATTTAAGTCACTAAGAAGAACAGCAACTTTTAAGTTATCCCAAAGCATCTTATAAAAAATCCCATCAGACGAACTATCCTGACATTTATAGCATAACTTGGATAAAATGAGAATTTAAAAATAATTTGTGAGGTTAAGAACAATGCATATTACTATGTCTTAAGGCAAAGATGATCAAAGTAGCACATGTCCTTTCCATACACAGTTAAGGTCATTATTCAGAAGGCTATCTTTAGGTATTGGAAACCTGCCTTCCTAGGCTCCTTCTGAAACCTACAGAGAAAGGAGGAACCTTATTCAAACAGTACCTGGAAGAGCAACTTTTACTCGAATAAGCCTAGGGAGAAAAGACTCTCCAACCTGCAGTAAGCCTTTGTGAATATCTTGTGTAGTTAACACTTGAATTATACAATAAACCCTTGAAAGAAACTTGGCTTACTCAAGATCAGCCTGTCAAACTTAGTGGTTAGCACTGGTGGAAAAGGCAGCTAAGATCATAGCAACTGCACCACTGAACCTGACATAAATCATGAACGAAAGCCCTTGTTTATCATAACTTGACATCTGGCATAGGAATGTAAAATAAAATCTTTAGTGGCTTAAATTAATACTCCTAACTGTGAATGTTGGCAGCCTGGAAGCAGACACTCTGTTTGTTCAGCCTCCTCCATTATATTGCAGGCATAACAGGAGGTCAGGTGGGTATTTCCTCAGACCTACTAAAGCACCCTCTCAAATCATTCCTATATAAATGAGCAGAGGTCATGAATTAAAGCCCATGCCATCAAGCCCTCACTGCTGCTTTGCTGAACTGTTTAGACTTCCAGGATTTCATTCATCTTCACAGAGCTTTGGGGCATTCCTGGATGAAAGCAGAAGGCTCCTGTCCTTGTGCTGAGGAAGCGTGGCATTCTCTGCACTCCACTTAGTGCAAGGGCTGGACTGATACTAGAAAAACAGCTGTGGTAAAACAACACTGGTAACTTAACATGCCACGTGCCTCAATACTATATACATCACAGGGGGAGAAAGTATCAGAAGGGCAGTGAGAGGAAGAGAAAAATGTCTCCATTTTCTAGAATTTGTTAAGCCCTGCTCAGTTAAAAGAATACTCCTTTTCTAAGCCTTCACTTAGAAAATGGCTGTGAACACTACAGAGCAACATCTGTTTTGTGAGTGCAATCCATAAAAGGCTTCCAAATGCCCTTAAAAATTGTTCCCTCTTTTCTCCAGTCTGAATGTCATCTCACAGCCATCTGGGACAAGCATGCCAGCTATTCTGCTGCAGTGATAGCAGTATTGTCCTCAAGTGCCTCAGGATGAGTCACATCAATGCAAAAGTCCAATTATAGTCGAAGCCCCCCAAAGCAGAAGTATCATTTCAAATAAATAAGACTGATGTAGCTGAACCACTGGATTCAGAAAGTAATTCGGTCACTTCATCACCTTTTGCTCAAAAACCCTGCATCCCTTAAACCTGTGCTAAATCCCCAGTCTGGATATGACATTCCCAGCACAGATGTGATAGTCTTAAGCCCAGTGTGTATGCATGTGGAGGAGCCCATAACAAGTGGTTTTGATTATTATTTTAAAAAACATCATTTTTAAACTTAGCATTTCTTATCACTTTAGAGCAGCGAATGAACAGTGCCATCCACTGTTCCTCTGCTTAATCCACAATACTTTCTTAGGATAGTCTTAAATAAATTTCAACATTAAAAGAAAAAAAAAAGCCACATTTAGAACAAAGAAATAGACAGTGGTTAAAAGATGCAAGTAAAAAAATATTTTTAAGGATAAATCATAGAATTGCAACTCTAAAAGCAGATCACAAGAAAGTAGATTTTCAAAATCTCTCTCAAATGTGGACAAGCCATTCTAATTTAATTAGTTAACTTTTACTCGTTTATCATAAAACTAAATATTTCTCCTATCAGGCCATCTACTGCGGTGTTAAATATAAATTCTCTCTTCATCTTACTATAAGAACTACATTTCTTCTTCAGTGTGATCATCAGGTGTCTGGAACACGACATGAATGATACTGCTAAAAACAGTACTTTTAGAGAGGCTTACTGGAGAAGAATAAATAATACAGTGTTAATGAAACTCTGTATTCACAGATTAATATGATAATACGAGACTACATATTCCTGAATTTCTTTGACAACAGAATTCAAAGTTTGCCTTTTAGATGTATATTTTAGAAGCCATTCCTATGAAAAGATTTCAAATTCATCCAATCTGTGGTGATGCATGTCTTGTTTGCTAAAAACAGGTAGCCACACACTATAACAGTGATGCAGTTCAGTAATGCAGATATGCTCTATGTTCTCCAACCCAGGAATCCTAAAAGTATCATATCCGTTTTTCCTGTTTGCTAGAACACAACTTCAGTGTCTAGCATTTTGCTAGCCAGATTTCACAATGCTTATCTTGCATCCATTTAAAACAAAGGTATAATTCATATTATACCTTAATAATTCATTGACTACAGTGATGGATGAAGTAAACCCTACCAGTTTGCCTTTCACTGCTTTACTCTATATTATTTTCTTGCAGTCTAGTCTAGTCATACTATCAAGTAAAGACCACTTTACAATTCAAAGTGACTATAATTCTGATTTTTCTTGCATTACAGATCTCTCATTGACACAAATAATGGTAGAAATACTATTTAGAAAACTGTATAACTGCTGAGTCCTAGGTAATTCAAAGGATAATTACTTGTTCATGATCAATGACCGCTGATTATATGCTGCATAGTGCAGAGCTATAAAACTGACAAATTATAAAAGCATATACTTATAACACGCTGCACTGGCAACATGACTTTTATGAACCCAATGCATAGCACCCAAAGTTTTTGCCAAGACATTTATAGAAAGGAGAAAACATACAGTAGAATTGCTTTTACTGATCAGGCTCATGCTCATTCATATTTCAGGATCAAAGATTATTTTCCAAAAGCCTTTTCCTATTGATGCTGTTGTGTTTGCTGCTCACTCACAACGATCAGCAGGACACCAGGTTGTAAGGGTCAGACTGGAACTGATTTCTTTGATTTTCCTATTAAGTTTTCAAAGGTGGGAGAGAATTTCACGTCTTTCTGAAAGTCACTGGCTGTACAAAGAGAAACCTAGAGCTCCTGTGAGAGAAGATTAGACCTGATTATAACTTCACTGAAATGTTATTGCAATAAAATATCTGATACAATTTCCTCTACATTGGACATAGATATTTCGACCCATTCTCCCCATACTTGTAGCTGTTTAGATTCCCCCAACTTGGGCAGCCTACTCACATTGAAAATGAGATTTAATGTTAACAATATTAAATTTCAGTTTCATGTTCTTTACCACAATAGTCTACTGAGGAAAAACATAACATAAATTGAATTAATTTTTTATTACTTTGTGTTTGGAATTACTAAACAAAGGCTATTGATAAGTGATAATGGCTTGGATCTCCAGCACATTCATAGAAGAGGCTTCTTTCCTACTGAAATGGTGAAATAATGCCAAACTCTCAAGCTTCCAACATGTAATTCTCATAGAAATAAATATGAGATTTACAAGTTGCTCATATAAGGAATGGGTCATCTCTTCCACCGACTTCTTCTTTTCCATGTGCTTAAGATAAACCAAAATCCCTAATGCCTCTAGATACAGCTGTCACATTAAAAGACAGGAAGAAAATTGTGGTATGAAAAAGAAGTTATGTCGTGTATTGAAATTCACACATCTGTAAAGTGTTGATATGTCAAAGAAGGACAACACAGGTGCAGGGCTTTTCTGAGATAATTTCTGTTAATAGTGCCAGTACACTTAGGGTCATATGATTGCAAAGCCTTATGAAACTCTTTCCAATTTTCTGTGATTTTATCCGAAAGGATCTTCTCTACCTAACAACTGAATAAATCAGAAATGCAGGAAAGAACAAAAGCACCCCTGAGATGAGGCATTGATAGTGTTACCACATCAAAAAATGTATTGCAGTGACAAACCTAGTGCTGGAAGACCAACAATTGCTAAAAATGCATCACGTTCTTACTTAGAACATAGAACAAGAGGAAGACTTCTTAAATCTTTTTTCTACTACACCATTTATGAACTATCTAAGTTAATAGAAGGTTATTTTCAACTAAAACAATTTTAGTTATTGATCCCAAAGCATGATACAGCATCAGGCCCCAAGTTTACTTTTGGAAATGTTTGTTCTGAAAACTGACTAAAAAGTGTGCAGGAAACTGAATATCTCACTTTGTTGATCTGCTCCCTTAAGTGACTGAAGAGTCACATCTGCTGACTGACAATGACGAGTTCTCACTATTTCCCCACAGTCCTATAAAACACAATTCACTAAGACTGAATGACTTGCAAGAGGCACTCAACTTACTCAAGGCATAATTTGAAGACAACAGGCTTCCACAGGAGAAAAATCTAGTTGTATATGTCCCTGTTCAATGCAAGGAAGTTGGACTAGATGACCTGTAAAGGTCCCTTCCAACTCAGACAGTTTTATGATTCAATGAAAGTAATGACAACAACTGTTTTATTGAAGTTCCTTTACGATCTTCCTGTAGCACTATCAGTTAGAAGTAGTTTTTCACTTGTAAATTGAGTACATTAAAAACAGAAAATTCTGAGAAGAAATAAAAACAGAATCACAATTTTGATAGTAAATCTGAGATCTAACAGTAAAACTGCACATCTGACCAAGCCCTGTACCATGCACTTTCAGGTGAAAGGAAGGAGGTGGAAAAGCTTTTAGGATTGTCTTGTTTTCTGGAAGCGTAGATTGGTTTCAAGTCCTGCCCGTTACTTCTTTTAAGATTCCTCTTACTGAATATCTTCCTAAAGGAATGATGAAAGTGGTTTCTTGAAAGAGCTGTCCTCTTGTACAACCTTTAATCTGCCTTTTATATAAGAAGAGCCACAGTGATGATCCCAGAGTTACCACTCAGAACACAAAAAATAAGGACTCCCAGATAACTCAGGCTTACTTACAATTGTTTTAATCAAAACCTAGGAACAAATCAGCCATGTAGTCCAGAACAGATCTACTCCTCGGAGCAGAATCACTCACCAGGTTTGAAATTAGGGCTGACATGGTAATATGTGGCTAGTGTGTTATCCCATGTTGTTTAACATTTACTTTACCTGCCTTTTACTCAAAACCAGCTAGAATGGACCTGAGCTGATGCATGAAATATTGCTATTGTTGAAGCCATCAGAGTGGAATTCAGCTCCTCTAACATCAAAGACTTTCAAAGCAATGCACAACATTCGGAGCTGTTTAATGCAACCTTCTTTTTCTGCATCTAATACCTCTTGACACTACTATGCTCCTTTGATATCTCTCCAAAACACTGTCCAGACTACTCAACACAAAGCTAAACGTGGAGTTACTTAGCTGATATACTAAAGCAAAACAAAAAGATGTGATACTGAAAATTATGAACAGCTTCTTAATATGTAGATGTAGACAAACCAAAAACTGCAGCTAGGTTATGTCTTAGAATAATTTGCTAACCAAAAAGTGTATTGACATCTCTGTCAAAGGATCCTGGCCCAGTGAACTGAAGTTTTGACTGCAGGATTCAGTACGTAGTCTCTATGTATGCATAGTGGATGGTTCTAGAGGAAAACATTAGGAGGCTGCAAATTCAGAAGATGTCAGTGCTGTTCTCAGGAAAATATACAACCTCTGCATAGCGTATAGCATACATTTTTAACACATATATTTATATATTACAAAGAATAATAGATAAAACAAGTAACAGCAAAATCCCAGTGAAACACATATGACACCTGAAAGCTAAGAACTATCCGTGTCCCTTGTCTGCAGTATGCACATACATAAGCTAGTGATTCTGATTCAAAAACTTTCAGTAAGCATGAGTCTGCTTCCCAACTGATGACTCAGAAGAAAGCGTCTAGAAGTACTGATTATGAAGAGGATTTACGTTGCTGAAAAGTATGTGGACATACCAACATAGACAAAGATTGTATGCAGAGTGTGAATTTTAATAAAACACAATCTGGCCTCAGTCATTATAGAAAAGGTTATTAAAGAAATGACCCTTCCCACAAAATCTTTTTCTTCAAACAAACTGAAAAATTCATGATACCTAAGGTGTCCAGTCTGGTCTGGATTAGCTCTTGGAAGTCTTTATCTTTGACTTGAAACACAGTGTCATGCGAAACATGACTAAAGTTATTTCTTGTGATCATTTCATCTTCTTTAAAAAAAAAAGAAAAAAAGAAAGAAAACATGCATTAGCATGCATTAAAAAGAGTAAATCTTTACCATTTATTAAACCAATGCTGATACTAACACATTATTCTACATGTCTAGAACTATGGAATGAAATTATAATGACCTTTCTATTACCTTGATATAGATTATTTAGTTTGCTGATCAACTGTCTCACCAGTGAATGAATACCTAAACTTGATTTGCACAGACCAGCTCAAATTCAGTTCAGCTTATCAGCTGCATTTCGTTCCTTATCTGATCTGGAATCAGTAAGTACTTGGTGAACCTTGAGAAACTCTGAATCTTAACAGTAGTGTGTTAATTCAAAACATTTGAGACCTACTCCATGGACTCTGCCTTTCTTTTCTCACGTTCCTCTTGCATCTTAACATGCAGTTTTTAAATCAGTTGTGCCACTGGGTTGGGTCTGTTGGCATTCTTGACCTGGCTACCAAGGGTGCACCAGCTTTCAGGGGGAATCTTTGGCTAGAGCTTGATGCCCTGTCACGTTGTCATGCTAATGGATATGTATTTAGACTGTAAGGTAACAGGCAATGGATGTATTGATGCAAGAGAATCCCGATATTTTTATTTTGCTACACTTAAAACACAGGTTTTCTCTCAGTTCCCATGGCAAGTAATATCTGTAATTTATGTAGGAGAGTTTTAAATAAAGGTTTGTACCAACACTTATCTATGATTGTCTCCTACATTTTATAAACGTGTCCTTGAACTTTTACGTTTTTTTTTTATTATTATTAAATTGTTTGTTTATTTTCTCTGAAGAAATCTAAGGAAGGATAATGGAAGGAAAGAAAAAAAAAGTGGAATAAAGTCTCCGGAACAATAACAGAAACATTAGAAGTAAATAGTTCCTTCAGTGATTCAGCTCCTGGCTAAGCACTAGACAAATATCTTTCTGTTCATAAAATTCACCCTAAGAAAATTCCATTTCCCTTTAGTCCCCCACAGAGATCCTGGGTGGCAGTAATAATATAGAGGATAAGCAATTATTTACTTCATCAGTTGGTCTGGGAAATACTTTAAAGTTTTGCAATCAAAAGATAATGGTCTTCTGAAACTACTTTCTGCTATTTGAATTTTCTTCAGAGACTGTTGTCACTGCATTAAATCATATGGAAACAAAACTTGATAATATACCTACCTCCCCCGGTAAATAAGTTAGGGAATCTGGTACCGAAGCTAGAAAGATAGCTTGTGCTTCATAAGAAACAATTATACAGTATATCTTATCCGTGAAGATGAAATATCTGTTATGATACAAATATTTTGTTTAAAGCTTAGACAATATGGGAAAGCTAAGGTATACTGCATCAGTATTTATTGAGTTGTTCACATTTGGTTTTTTGGCTAACTTGAAGTTTAATTGTATTTATCTAAAATAGTTTAATTTTATGTCCCAGGTCATTATCTAATTCAGTTCCAGCATCAGCAGTGTGAATGGAGATGCACTAGTTCATTCTAACCACAAAACCTCCTTACGTCACGTAGAAATATAAGCAATTCTTACAGGTCTTTCTTTCAGTGTAGGAGCCTCCAGACACTGGTGATTAAATGGTTGTTTCATCAGCTTGTCTTTCCGTTCTAGGGTCTCAAACACCTTTCCCTTTGTTAACAATTCCATTCAGTAAAGACCCAGTAAATGACAATATCATGTAGTAAGGAGCCTTACTGAATGATGGCCTGAATGCCTCAGTTGTGATTATTATCTACTGCAATCTATGATACTGATTTCTTCTCTTATAAAGTGCTAGGTGAATTCTTTCTTTCTGTGGTCATATATATGTGTGCACAGATGATATACTGCAGAGCTAAGGAGAATAGTTTTTATGTAATTATATTAGAAAGGAATTGTGATACATCATCTATATAAAACTATCTAATAAAAAATGCCAACAGTCCTTCTGAAGATATGCCCAGTGCTCATTTTGCTTGTGTCAACCAGACTGAAAGCTTTAATTTTTTTCAGTCTATTATTTGCTCATTGGGTTCAGAAATAGAGTCTTCAATTTAAGGAGCGCAATATGTAGCAAATCAAAGTAACAAAAAAAATCCAGCTGTGCACTTCAGGGACGATCACACCATCCACTGCATGAGACATACATATCATGACATTCCATCAAAGCTGACAGAAAGGCATTTTAGCATAGTTCTCTACCCTGTGAAGGCCATAGAACTGGTGAAAATAGACAGTTCCTTATCAAAAGTTCACGTTCTAAAGATAGACATAAAAAGGCAATTCAGATTACAGAAAGTCAGATTAAGTTATTTTTGAAAATGAACTATGATACCATGTCCATGTCAGACATACGTTACAGTCTGTCAGATGACAAACTGCAGATGCAAATATGTATATATATATATAGAATACAGTATACTACAGAAATGTGAGCTTATAATAATTACTGCACAGTTATAATTCTAATTAACTACACGTATCATGCTCATTTTATCCTCTCATCAAAACAGATTCCCTTTGTCTGTCATTTCTCCTGTGTGCACAAGAACCATGGGGATATATATTTTTTTGCTACATGGCGTGTTTGGATGTACACAATTATGGCATCACCCTTCTTTTCCAAAATGTTGCATCTCAAATTAAGGTGTAATGTTATCCTGCATATATTTATGCCTATCTTTATTTTAAACATCAATCACAACTAGTTGCATTAAGATACAATACTAAAACTAGTAGCTATGTATCTATAAACCTTGTACAGTTCTAGGAACACTCTGAAGTTTACCTGATGCCAGGCTTCAGTACAAGGCAGAAAACAGTTTAGCTTCTGTTACAAATCTCATGCATCTAAGAACTTTGAGTTAGGAGACTTTCCAATAACAGCAGTCTTCCTTGCCCTGAGATAAACAATCTCTTTTAATTAAAAAAAAATATATATTTTAAAGATTTTAAAATAATGAAATTTTGCAGATGAAAGATGACAACCCAGTGCCGCAGTTCTAAATTTCTTACACGCAAAGGGGATGACAATGAGTCTGAAAGAACAACAGTGTCACATTCTCAAACGACACAAATGAGAATGCCTTATATAGCTGGGACACCACATGCAGTCAAGAACAAGAACGATCAAACAATGCACTCCTTATGGTGGGATGTATAAAGATAAGAATATTATAATAATGACTAGGAAAAAAAAGCACAAAAAAAAAGCTCAAAGCTCAACTAATGTATACTGAATGTTGCCCACTCGAATTATTTTCAATGTTTTTCTTTCTGTGCTTCAGAATATATGGATAAACATTTTCAAAACACTCTAGAAGCTAGACAGTTTGCTTTACTATTAATTCCTTGGTGTTGAAACACTTGCATAACTGTTTTTTATTTTTTTATTTTTTAATGAGAATGTCAGTTTTAAAGTAGATCACAAATTATTGCAAAACTTTACGAAGAACATCAAAGGGAAGTTCACTCATCTTTTATAAAACATCCATCTGATTCAACATTTTAAAGTCAAATTTGTAGCTATAGTTACAGGAAATATTGTGATTCTAGACGGTTCATTAGAAAGTGCTAGTAGTAGGTTAGGATTTAGTTTCAGAATATGGATTAACAGCAAGGATCTAGTGGCATTTTTTATTCCAACACGACAGGAATAGCTCAGGAAAAAAAAATTAGTTGGAAGAAAAAAGGCTGCAGGCAGTTGCCCATGAGCTGGGCAGTGATACGAAGAATCCAAAGCATGCTGAATAAACCTATTAAAACTTTTTAGATAAGAATTTGAATTTATTTTAAGTCCTGGAACAGAAGAAACTCAAGTTTAAATCTATTTCTATCTTCTGAAATAAGAAGAGAAAGAAACATACTTCTGTTAACTCAAAGACATGATAAAATTTCTTTACTTGGTTTATATGGTTTTTTTTTTTTTACAGAAGCTGAAAACCTGCTCACAGAACTGCAGAAATATTTAAGAAAACTACAGATTCGCACACGTTTAGACATTAAATGATGAGTTCACAGGTGAGATCAGTACTCTGTTAGACTACTGCAAACAGGAGCTGAGCAGAATACTAGTATTTGGTAAATGTTACTATGTGGACCTTAGCATGAAAAGGAAATATGGCATCCAAAAAGACTTTCCTTGTGTTGATCACATGATATTCAACGTATTTCATACAATTGTTTTTACGCACTGAATGTCTAAGCCAGTAGCTATCACATTTCTTTTTACCAATATGGAAATCTTCTAGCATTCAGCATTTCTAGGAACTACCACACTTAATGAGAGACTGTGGTTGGCAGAAAGTGGCAGTGATCCACTTGGGCCCAGGGACAGCCCTGAGCAGGGAGAAAACTGAGGAGAGAGGAAACACAGAGACAGGCTTGGTGATGAATACTGCATAAACAGGACATAATGCCCAACACAGAAAAAAACTAATTGTACCAGACAACAGAGGGATAGCAATAGCTGCAAACTGACACTCCCTTGGTGGCAGTAGCCAACAAATATGTCTGGTCTCTATCTGAGCTGCTCTCCCGGAGCAGTCTGCTGTCCTGGGAACTGTATACCTTGCTTATGTCTAATGACATGCCTTTTGATGAAGAAATGAGAGCAGTATAGAATCAAATAGAAGATATTAAACAAACGTGATAGATAAACCAGACAACAGAAACTTCCACGTGGAATTGTAGATGATAATCTATTCTGAAGCAGTTCTGTTTTCAATGAGGTCTCGCAGCCACTGATCTGCACCCTTCTTATGCATACATATGCACATACTTGTTTCTGTGTGTGACTGTGTATAAACAGAGAAAACACAACATTCACGCCTCCTCGCACCCTCTCCATATGTATTTCTACAAATAACCTAAAAAAATAAAACTTTTAAACATGAGAGGACCATAGATAACTGAAAAACGAATAGTAAAATGACAAATGAAACAAACCAGGCGTACAGCATGCCTAGGAAAAATAAGCACAAAGAACAAGATTTCTAATAAAACTCTACATTGAGAAATTGAGAAAATAGGCCAGAATCAAAGAGGAATCTTAATTATAAGCAGCAGTAACTCAGAAAGATTTGCAGGTCATAACATACAATCAAAGCATAAATAAATTGCCAGCATGATGTTAGGCCTCAGGGACTCAGGCAATCCTTAAGTGTAGAAACAAGGGAACGCTTAGCCATATCTGAAAAGTTATTTTATTTACTTTTCTGGTACCAGTAAAACTTCTATGAAAGCACCAATTCTCATTTCTATCGTAACATTTCATGAGATATACAGAAAAACTAGGAAGGGCTCAAAGGGAGCCACAGAGATGATTAAAAAAACCGGCCAACGTGATTTCCAGAGAAATTCTAGGAGGTCAATAATTTCTGTTTATCAGAGAGGTTGTTACAGATTATTTAGTCCCAGGTTGCACATAGCTATGTTAAAGAAACTTGAACAGCAGACGCTGCAAGCTACTGTAAAATAAAACAAAGACTGGCAACCACTAGATTGCTTTAAAGCTGATACAGACAGAAATGGTTAGCTGTAAGAGTGGTTAACCAAGGCAACACCTAAAAATAATTGTTCTTACTTCATCAGGCATAAGAAATGCCTGCTTTAAAGAGGGACGAGCATCTGGGATGTATTCACACAGCTTCTGGAAAACAGTGTCACTGGGAAAAGCTTCATCTCATCTGGCTGGATTTTCTCTGCAATAGGAAAAAGACAGTCTTAGCAGCACTCTCATGCCTCGCTCTCTTTTCCTCAACATGTATCTTCCTAGACCTCATTAGGGCTCAGGGTTTGACAGGACTCCAAATAAGACTTTGCAATCAAAAGCACAAAGCACTGCCAAAAAATTATTTAACTGAATTGAATCTAGGGTGATCACCAAATGGATATGCTTTCCTCATTTTCGCTAACCATGTGTGACACACATTACTCTGAACTCATACAAAAAAAAAGCAACTTCCTACTTATTTTCCTGCTTGTTTTCAAAGGCGTTTCCAGGATCTCTGAGTTTTTCTAAAAATTGTTGCCAAGCTATTTTACCCGTGGCTTTCAGTCCAAACCTGAGAAAAAAGAAAGCAGTTTGAAAAGATTTTCTTATAAAAACACTGTGTTCCAAGAAGAATTTTGAAGTAGAAACATTACAACAGCATTACAATATCAGCATGTGCAACATTCACGTTTAGAATAAACTTCCATAGCTTTTCTTTGTTACTAAAAACGTGAACCGAGCCAACTTATTTTCTCAGTTCCAAATGTCTAGCTGTGGAAGAACTAGACCCCAAGCGAGAATTCATCTAACCATATGTACATGCCTGCACCTGAGCAAGTCACACTGTCCCTTTATAGTCATTGGGAAGAACAGGCACTTTCAGGACAGAATTAATCTCATTCTAAAGTATATAACCAAAACCAGTTAGATGAATCCTGCCCGTTGTTTCTCTCCAGTGACTATAAAATGGAGTCTAGGAGGAGCAGTTCAGATGTAGATGTTCACATTACGGATGTCTAGAATGCATCCCTTCTCATTATTTACACATAACAGTGGAGGAACTAACTAAAGGGAATGTATGTTTGTTTTTTCTTTAATCTTATGGCGCTGACTGCATCCACACTTGAAAATTCCAAAAGTATTGGAAGTGTTAAACTGTGTTAAAAATCGTAGGAGTTTGACTAGAATCATATTCAGTGAATAATTACTTGAAAATTAATAAGGAACTGATCCCATGACCATCCAAATTATTGGCATATTTCCTATTCAGTTCCAATGGTACTGTAGAAAGGCCCAAGTGAGCATGGCTAAAAGCACTCCTACTTCATAAAGTTCTTCATAGGCAATTACATCCCTCATATATTATCAGAAATGTGCTGACTTGCTACTCTAATAATCTCAGAAAAGCTTTTAAAACTTCTATTGCTCCTTAGAATGGTGGCAGATGGTGTTTAAAGCATTTGCTAATCCAAAGTGCCAAGGACAAAGCTAAAAAATATTCAGACAAAATCAGAGGTGTACAAGACTTTCTGGGTCTTTTACAAAACAAACAAACAAAGCAAACAATAACCACAAAACAAAACAACCTCCAGTTTCAGGACTATATGGCAGTTTCTCAAGCTCAGTCAAGAAGGCAAAACACACAAGTTACTGGAAGCACAGAATTAACTCTGGCTGTCTGAAACAAAAGACAACACAGAGTATTTAAGGGGAGGGAAAGGAACTGGTCGGTATGAAATGTTCCTGCACAAGAATGGAGTGCATGCACCACGTTCAGCAGCTCAAGGGACAAACACCTGAGAGTGTACAAGCAGCACGGTTGCACCAGAACCCAGAACAGGGACTGGGAAGGGCCAAGCATCAAAGTATCGAGGTAAATGAAGGCAGGGGCAGCGCTGGCATTTGCATTTCACCACCTCATTCCATCTTTGCCAACATTACTACTGAAGGGTTGGGTTATTTAAAAAAAGCTGTAGAAAGAAAAAATATTTCATCTCTGATTATTGTCTAGGATAAAAGAATATGAAACAAACAGTATGAAGTAACAGATGATCTTTAAAATTAAGGCCAAGATAACAACTGTTATTTTGAACCCCCAGCTGAGATCCCATCACACTCAAATGTCTGTGGTCTACTAAATCACTCAAATTACGCTGTAGAGAGTAATCCTGCATGAAAATGAGCAACTAGCCAATGTTGCATCTATCAGAGCAACAGATCTCTCCACTTCTACCTCCTTTCTCAGAAACCCTACACTCACCTGTTGTTGGACATTGGCAATTTGGAATTTGGCAAGTAGCCAAAATCTTGGGAGCTGACAAAAATTTAGGAAGAAATGCTAATGTGGTTATAAGATCTGGCATGATTAACCGTAATTTGTGGTGCCACTGAGTGTTCCACAGGGTATGGTATGCTCCCCCATTCCGCAGATGGTTAATGGATCATGGAACTCTTCAAGTTTAACTTGTCTTCCCATGGCAGTCCAACACAGCCTTGCAAGTTGGAAAGGGATGAGTCAGGCCTGCATAGGGGGTGAATAGGAACTTCCCAGCAATAAGCTTTGTTAAGGAAAGTCTTATTTAGACAAAGCTCATTAAAATCAATGGTAATAAAACCTGAGGAAGGATGTCAGTGTATTTTACTGATTTCAAAGCAATTCCTCTTTGTAGATGCGACACTGACCCTCAGATTTCCAATTGCATTAAAAAGGCAATAATATGTACAGTACTTAGATGAAGAATATCCAACCTGCAGCCTGTGGGTCACACGTGGCCTGGCATATCTCATAATGTGGACCACCCCGTGCCTCACGTTGTCAATAAATTGTGTCAGTGCACCCATTGACATTCCTTGATATTTGTTGAATGTTTATGGAGATCAAACAGTGGATATGGGCACAGTGAGGTGGTGAGTGGTGCATTTCAGCAATGGTGACAGTGGCCTTGGGTCACCTCCACTGGTGTAGGTTTCGACATGCATGGCATGCAGACTCTTGTTCACTGCTGGTGAAAATGCACAGCTAATGATGGTGACTATGTTGAAAAGTAGTGTTTTGTAGCAGGGAACTTTTTCTATTAAATAGTGTTATTGTCCTCTTTACATCTGTCATAGTTTCCAGGAAATAAATAGGAGGCATTATTTTTGGAGTGATGTATGTATATTGGGCTCAAGACAATTCCTCTTCACTCAGTGCAGCCCAGCCAAGCTGAAAGACTGGACACCCATTATTTAGATGCTATAGGTGGAATAACTGACACATATAAAGATCATTCCGCTGTAGTGTTAGAAAAAGCATTTTTAGAGTGGTAATCCAACATTTTATCTACTATAATATGCCAACTTACTTGTTAAAGTAGTTAGAAAAAAAAAACAACACTGCATGCCGTTTTGGAAGTATACTTATGATTATATCCAAATGAAAAGGAATAAATTTCCAAAAAAAAAAAAAGAAAAAGAAAGACAGACTAGAGCTGTAACAACATGGATATGTAACAAAATCATCGGATAAATCATCTCATAGTGATTTTTTACAAAACGTTTCCCACTGAAAAATTCTCAGTCATCACTGCCCTAACATCTGGTACTTTCATACAAGTCGTAAATCAAAGAAATAAAACATGAGATTAACAGAAAAAGTTTTAAAAAATCCTGACAAAGTGACAAGAGTGAGTTTCTTTAAATCGCAAATGAAATTCACCAACTAGAAATCTGGGTAGAGTCAAGAAAATTAAGTCTTAGAAAACTCAATTCTTCATTTAGACTGCCTTCATACTGGTCGTGTATGATTTGTCAACAAGAACACCATCCTAACCCTCCACCTGTGAAGGAATATAATGCACACCACTCTGTATAATCACAAGTTCACCATGTTTTCTTTCTGGCTCAGTTTTCAAGAGTAAAAACTATGGAATTCAAGGAATCTGGGACTCACTTTGGAGATGTCCTTCAAGTAAAGTACACTGCAGTGACCTGCCTCCGATGTATTTGATCTTGCTGCAGTGGGGATATAGACTGAGAAAGAAGTGTGTAGGTAATCTGGTCCTAAACGAGTCAAGGATGAAATCCTTGCTGAGTCTAAGGCAAAACTGCATCAACTTCAGTGGCCCTGAATTTTTTAACAGGAGCCCATGAGATGTAAATACCTCCAACATCCATAAAATACTATAATGTATTATTTCTTATAAACAGCTCCCTGATACATCTCATGTCATGTTATTTAAATATAATCCTAAAATCCTTGAAATCACTTCCCTTGACCGTCAATTACTATTACACTTATTATTAACTATAATGAAGTTACTTTGTTGTAAGAATTAGATTACTATGAAGAACTTCTGTCAGATCTTTGAATAGATAGATCTTTGAATAACCTTTTCTGAGAAGTACCACCTGAGAGATACAGCATACACAGGCTTGAACATTTCTGTTTACAGCATCATTAAAATGTCACCATATTTTTCATATGCTACAGAAGGTTCCAGTGGAAGAACACATACAGAAATCTTTCCATTATGTAACTGCTTTTAAGAGCAAGATTTACGTGAAGATTTAAACATGAAAGTGACATGAATTGAAAGAACTATAATAGCCATTTTTTGACAAAGCAATAGTTGATCATTGTTATATCGTACTGTGAATGACTAGAAGCAAATACGATTTATCTGACAAACACACAGAGCAATATGGTTACTGCAGATGATACTCTCCAGCAGCACCTGCTGCTGTAAAACATATCTGCACTGAGGTCCTTACAGCTAACTATTCCATATAAAGAAAAAAAAAAAATTCAGCCCTTTATTTATATGGATGCTTCCATTATTCACAAAATTTCCATATAAATTATGAACTGTGGAAACACTGAATAGCGATGCATGATATTGGCCTCCTCACACTCTGTGGTTTGGGTGCCTTGTCCTTGCTGTAAGTTCAAGCAGTATCTTGTAGTAAAAAATAATGTGTAAGAGTTAAGCCGTTCTTCCCTTCTCTTTGGCCATATGCCCTTGGCAATGTTGCCAAGGAATACAGAGTGTATCCTGGAAGTTTCCTTCTCACAGTTTTTGCTTTCTGAGTATAAAGGATTAATCATGAGAGATCTTGGTCTAGACTTAGCCAAGAGCCACAAAAACATCCATTCCTGTGATATTTTGGCTTTATAAAGGAAATATGAGTTTAGGAAGCTAATCTACATAAACAAACTGAAATAATGTTCAGGAAATAAGGTTCTGGAAAGTGTCCCATGGCCTAAACTCAGATCTGCTGAGATTCTCTATGCAAGGCAGGAAAATATTTTCGATTCATTTATCTTCTGTATGCTACGCTGCCCACAAGAGCATTTGAGTTTTGGTAGTGATACTGAGAAGATGCCTGGTTAAAGTAAAATAGCATACTGTCTTTAATCCAGCAGTTGGCATTATTTCTCAATTGTCACAGCAAATGTATAAAAATATTTGCCTCATTTAGTTTGCATTCAAATTTCCAGCTATGAAATTTATTCACTATGCTGCACAGGAGGGTCCTTTTGGTTGTCTTTCTCAGTGGCAAACAATGAACAGGGCAGAGTGAAAGCTTACAGCATTAGATCATTCATTGCCCTTAGTTGTTGTTCTCCTTGTTTCTCTCTGTTGTTTGTTTCTTTTCCTTGCCACACTACTCTGCTTTGAAAGGAGAGGCTTGCAGAGTCACACAATCACTGTGCAATTATGGTACTAACAGCTGTGAAGCTTTCTTCAAGCAAATTCTCACCATCCCACATCACTAATCATTCGAATGCAAGACAGTAATGCTCCCTTTAAGATATTAAATACAAATTTGTGAGCATATAGAAGTAAGAAAGCAGTAACTTAAAGCTTCTACTCCATTAAATCTATATACATTACTGAAGAAAACTACCAGCAACAACAACAAAAACCCTAGGCTTTATATCCAGTTTTACCAGGTTTTCCCACTATGCCATATGCACTGCATCACAGGTGCAAGTAAGATGAATTAGTGATGCTGGTCACAAAATGCAATAATAAAGTTATAAAATGGTGCCACTAAAAATGTCCCCTAAGAAAATATAGTTCTTACCTATTCGTTAGCTCTTGAAAAGTTTCATTTGGCAAAGGAAATACAAAGCTATTTCTGACTGACTTCAAGTAATGCAAAGACACAAATCCACCCACTCACAAATCCGCTGACATCAATTGCTCTGAAGGCTTTTTCAGTGTCCTGATAGGCCGAACACAACTGTAATGAATACAGTTTATGGTGTTTTGTTCAGAAAAATCAAGCTCATGAAGCTTTTAAAACAACAATGCATTTTTTACAAGACCTTTTCAAATGTTTCTCTTTGTGAACTGATCAAATAGGTTACCCTGGCATGCTCTGACCGTCAGATGTTTAATTAATAAGCTCACTGCAAAACAGTATTCCCAATCACACGCTCTCAAATGACAAGTCAGACAACTTTTCTCAAATAATAAATCTGCCTCAAAATTCTAAGCTAAAAATACTTGGTGGATCAGCCTGCTTGATAACATCTCTCTTAAGTAACTTTAAAACCATCCATCTCATAACCTAGTATCAAAGTTCCCCTTATTAAAATGGATCCTTAGCACGACGAATACTGGAAAATTTTAGGAAAAGTGTGATAGTTAACATAGCTTGTATAAAAATATTACACATTTCTTTGGTTATTTCTTCTTCATTCTCATGCTGTTGCAATAGAGCTATGTGGATGTGTTTTTACTTGTGGGACCTGTGAAACGCCTGAAAGTTGACTTACTGCAGATTTTGATAAGGCTCGTGAAACAATAGGAGTCTGGTTTGTTTTCCTGAAACGTTAGCTCACACTGGGTTGTTGAATACTGCAAGCATCCCTGAGGCTTTTCTCCCCCCACCATTTTTTGACAAGTACCCCATCTGCTTCTAAGCTGATTATTGTTTATTCAGAACTGCCAAAATCACAGAGTGAAGATAATGTATGGAGAGATTTTAGAAAGCCCAAAATAAACACGAAACACTGGGAGTGCTTGTAAGGTGAGATGTACCATACTTCCAATCCAGGCCTTGACCTCCATATCAAAGATAGAAAAGACAAAAAAAGGTCAAGAAGTTGAACGTCCCTGAGGCTTGTTTGTCCCTCTTGTCTTTTCAAGGTTGAGAAAGCACAGCTACAGGTCTGTGTAACCTAGTTTGTAGTAAAACATGCAGTTCTTATGCACTGCCTGACTTCAGAGTCAGGATTTCCATGGCATGGAGACACGAGTATTGGAAAGCTTTTTTCTCTTCACCTTCCCATAAAGCAGGCAAAACACAGTAATACAGTGACAGATATGTTCATCCATCATACTCCACAACTTTCCTCAGTTAAGATCACATCTAAAATCAAAAGAGGTCATTGGTCATGTCTATTCCATCTTCAATCTCAGTTCTAGGCTTGCTACCACATATAAAAAAATATGTGTTTCTGCAGCAGCACCTATCCACTAACAATTTATTTCATGTAAGTCAGAAAATAATTGTCAAATAGTGGTAACTAGTCATTACTTGGAGAAGTCATTACTTACTTTATCTGACAGAGCAATCTAGCAATTCACATTATGAAATACTTTAGCTATCAAGCTTCGATGCACTCACATTTTGTTTTAGCCCAAGGAATCTGGAGTTCTAATATTGTTTTTAATACTGTGAATCTAAAAAGCAAAATTAGAGCATGCAAAATAAAACAGAAGTTCTGCTTCTGCTATCTGGCTTTAGAAGCAAACAAGAAACCCTGTGAATGGAACACACGCATTCCTATGATGTCTTGCTCATCTTCTCCACTTATCAAAGTATTCTGAATTATTAATAGTACTCCCTTAACTTTTCTCTAAATGACCTCTCAGCGCTCTCCAGACCACACTCTGTTACAGAGCACTCAGCTGGTAAATGCTGTCAAAAACTTTTTCCTGGTGAAGGTTGTAGAAAAAGTTTTTCCTGCTTGTGCATCTTCTCTTTTACCTGCTGACAGATTAGAATTGATTTAGCAGAGTTTGTGTCAGTCTCATCTTCAAAGAAATAAAGCTACCTAAAATTCCTAAGGCTCTTTTTGTTTTTGCACAAATCATTATATACTAAAAGAATAAAAACAGAAATAAAACATTTGTATTTTCTTCTATTTCAAACTTGATCAGTATTTAAAATTGATGGTAACTTGTCTGTGCATTTATTGTAATAGCTTTTCATTCAATATTACTTTAAAAACATTCTCTCAAATTCCTTACAATCTTAATAGGTAACTTTAATACATTTAGTTTTATAAAAACATATCAGAAGGTTCTTCTAGAAACTCTCTCTCTTTGTCAGTATAAATCATAGAATCATTTGAGTTGGCCATAATAGAGAGCTACTAAGCAGGGCAGGACTTGCCCTTGGTGAAGCCACACTGGTTCTCTTATCACCTCCCTCTCTTCCACATGCCTAAGCATAGCTTCCAGCAGGATTTATTTCATGATCTTCCCTGGCAGAGATGAAGCTGACAGGTCACCAATTCCTGAGTGATCACATTGATTTCCCCGCCCTGCCCAAGTTCACCATCTTGTCACCATCTTGGAGTAAGTTATTTTTTAAAAAAGATGACCTACCAAACTTGGCATTATTGAGTACTGAGCGAAAAATGAGGTTCCCACACGGTACAAGATTCCAAACTGCAGGAACAAACTCACTATCTGGGATTCATGAGCATGTAGCGATGATTTAATTTTTTGTCACATGTAAAATATCGTCTTTTGATTTTAAAGGCAGATTTAACACGCAGTTGGTAGAATTTTCCAGGCCAAGGGAGACTGTCTTTCTTCTCATCCCTGTACTAGTCAGAACTGCTGAAAATCAGGGATGTAAAGTCCAACAAAATTCCAAACTAGATCCATCAAGACCAACAGAAATACTTCCAGGGATATGAATGGAAAGAGGAAAAAGTATGCAAGAATTCCACTCTTTTTCTCAGACATATCTGGAATTGGGTTTTCTATAGTGTTTTTTGTTTGTTTGTTTCTTGCTTAACCGTATCTGTACTTATGCAAAAATACTTCAGAAATTCTTTATAGTTCATCATATCTAGCATAGTAGTGGTTTCACTTTGAAGAGAAAAGTCCCAGGTTTTAGAGTACACTGCTATTCTATATTGCGCTTGCAGTGAATTGAATAAATATTTATGAAGTCTTTAGAAAAGAATACATACATAAATAATGCGAAAAACAAGCAAATAATGACTTTTTTCTAAGTCCCTGTAACAATTTTTTTTCTGGTCTCTTAACTCCCCATTACATTCTTTTCTGGTCTCTTTTCTCTGCACAAGATTATGTGTATAGTATGTGAGCTGTCTGCATAATATCATTCAAATCCAAGATACAGTGCCATTTGGTTGGTCATCTACATGAACATGAATTTTAATATAGCTGCACAAGACATCCCTCTTCCAGTAATATGAGAATATTATGGTATTCTTAAACAAAGTCTAGCATAACTTATGATAAATCATGCCTAAACTCTGTAGCAAGTTGTCTAGATGTTATAGAAGGCTAAAATTTTTGCAGCAGCTTCATTCAGATTAAACATGAATGGCATTTTGCAATTAGAACTCATTTCCACATGGTATTAATTTCCACAGCTTTTAAATTAACCTTTGGTTGCAAGCAGTTATTTTCCAGATATTTCCCCTGATCAGCGGAGAAACTGTTAATGCTGTATACACTTGTCATCCTTAAATTGTATCCAATTGCTTGGAAGAAATGAGCTGTTTTCATCTTTCAGAATGACAGTCTGCTAGAGAACCCACAACCAGTTTATCACATTTTAGTGTGGGATTTACCTTCAATCCCCATCAGGCAACACAGTTGTGACTCATGTTCATATTTTATCTTCCTAATAATGAAATCCAGAAATATGTAGTTCTTAAAACTAAAATTCTGTTGCATAAAGAGAATGCATAAACTCTGAAGTTGAAATGGTTTACCATTAGAACATCTTGTATATCACAGGCAATCAAGATTATCTCAACTTCCTTTGCATTTAGCTCCATAATTATTATTTAAATAAAATTAAACTCATGGTCAATTTAAGATTTTCTGACAATTGCATCCAGCTAATCCTGATCAATTTGTTCTAAAAGCTAATAGCAGGAGAATTGCCTTTTTTTTTAATTGAATGTGTCTATTTAGTGAAGATACAACACCAGATGATCTGGTCAACTCTTAAACTCCTTTTTCAAAGTCTAAATGGATTGTCTGCTAACATTAAGCTCTAAAGCATTTGCATCATCCCTTGAATCGTGATGGTGACTTCTTTGCACAATTTTCCAGCATCCTGAGAATGAGAGTACCTGATGTGAAAGTGTTCAGGTTTTGATTCTGTCAACATATGAAAATAAAACCCCTCTTTGGGACATTAACATTTTCACAGCCTCATAGTACAAGCCAACATTTCATAAAAAAGAGAAGAGAGATACCCTGCTATTTGCATCAGCATGGGAGGCCAAGATCTGCTGGTGATAGATTGATGTGACCATTGATGTGATAAAGAAGAACCAGGTTGGCCATTTTTCAAATTCCATTTGCAACAAGTAGAGAGAAAGCTGCACTGTAACATTCCCTGCTTACCTCACTATTAACAAACTGGGAAGGAATAATTAGCTGCTAAGATCACCATAGTTTTGAGGGGTACTGAAAGAGAGGAATTTCTGATCCTAGTATTAGATTTTCTTAAGCAGTTTGGAAGTTTTTGGCTTGCCTCTTGCTTCAGTTTCCCATCTGTAAAACTAGAACAATAATGCCATCCTAGCCATGGGCTGATGTTACTTATCACAGTAAACCATGCACCTTTGTTTTGATGTATATAAGTTATGATTATATATTCATGGAGGTCTTCAATTATTCTCCTTAGTAAGAGGGATTCCTTCACATCCTATTTCCCCTCAAAACTTTTCTTAGTGTCCTATTAAAGGGTGAGGATTATCTGTGAATTTATTTTCAAGGAAATTTTAAAGGAATTAAGATTAGCTGTGAACTGTATATATGGAAATACAGAATAAACATATAGACTGACGTCTGTGAAGTGCAGTAAAAGCATACATGATTAAATGGATAGATTTGCTTCCAATTTGAACAAACTTTTCACACGTACATTCAAAATAAAAGGAATACT